CCCAGGCATCTTTGCCATGGCAAGGGCAGCCCTTCATTGCCTGGCCATAGGAGTCAGACAGGCACAACCCCACACCTAGCAGTGTCTGGGGGCAGGCCGTGAATGAGGCCAGTGGAATGGCACCCCCTGGGAAGACTTTGGCAGAGCAGAAAATCCTGCACCGAACAGAATATCCTGGGAGGGGTGAACAGGGCACCAGGGAGCCTGGCTGCAGTTACAAGGGCAGCCGCAGCAGTAGCAGCTCCCTTCCCTGTGCAGAAAGTTGGGGCAGGTAAGACTTTGATCCCCCTCCCTTTTCCCTCACCACACCCACCCTCCTAACTTGTCAGTCTTCAATGGTAGAAATAGCCCCCCACCCCCACCAACCCTAGATGCTGAAGGATCTTGCATCTGCTGTACATACATTGGATGAGGCAGGACTTGCCCTAAAGAACAGTCTGGTCCCTTCCCTGTCACTTCTGGGTTTGCCGTCCCTGAGCCATTCCACCCAAAAGAGGATCTGGTGTGGATGCAGTGGTGCAATTGCACCCCCTCCTTTGATTCCTACTTCAGCTAAACTTTGAAAGCCAACCACCTCAGAGGAGAAGCAGTATTTCTATTCAGGTGGTGCTGAAGGGGTGAATTGACTTCACGGCTCATTATAATCTACCTGATTCCTGCTTATTGCTCTTCACTCTATAGGTGTTAACAAATCTTTTCAAGTTCCAGCAATCAAGCTGTCCTTTCTTCTGCAATTCAGCTGTGTGTTAGCCATTCCCGGGAATCTCTCTCTTCCATTTCACAGCTCTAAAGACCATTTTTAGTTCTAATTAAAAACCTTAACTTGGCTGTGGAAACAAATAATAGTGAAGCACAGGATGCTTAAGAAGCCTAGTACTTGTATTATGAATCTGAATAACTGATGTGCTTTTGACTATCATCACTACAGGCCTAATGAAACAATATCTTTTGAGTATATTTGCCTACTTTGCTGTGTTTTTTAAACTTAATATATCATCCAGCAAATTCATCCACATTCCAATAAAGTTGTATTTAGTTTTGTTTTGATCAAAGCTCAGTTGCCTGGAGCATGCAAGCTGCATTGCATCATGGGAGAGGTAGTCTAGCCAGGGCATTGGGCCCATCAGAGAGAATCGGAGCATCACAAATTCCAAACAAAAAAAAATGCTCCTTGGTAAAAAATTATTGACCTGCTCTAATGATGAACTCCAGGAACTTCAGGTCTCAGGAATCTGTCCCCTACTACTGTTCCCTCCCATACCACCCGCTGAGCAGGAATGGGACCAGAGAATTTGCCCTCACCTCTATTTCTGAAAAGGCCTAAGAAATGGACCCAGCATCTCAGGAATGAAGGGAAATTCCCTGGGGAGGTGGAAGAGTTTTCCAAGGGACCCAGACTACTTGGCTTCTTTTTTCACAGCTGCTCTGGGCTCTGTGAAAACTTCCAAAAAACTTCCTGAAATCTCTAAGAAACCACTGCAAGGATCTGTGGGATAAGTATGTCAAGAGCCCTGTAACGAGTACAGTGTAGAACTGCAATAGACTCACACCTGATATGGGATGACACCCGTGGGTGCTCCACTCAGTTCAATTAACAATGGGTCCATTCTGTAGCATGGACAGGGCCTGGGTGGACTGGCCGGGGGGAGGTGGTACTGCTGTTTTGAGTTGGCACTGCCTGTGACTAGAACAGGCATCATTCCCTCGTGCTGTCAGTCAGTCCCTTGCACCAGCAAGATGGTCACGTGAAAACAAATACAAAGGTCTCTCCATTTTCCCTACCAACCCCCATCCGGTTTGGATCAGGCCCATGAGGGCCAGGAGCAACCCAGTGTACTTGGAGTAAAGCCACAAGGCAAAGTAATCAGGAGGAAAACACAGGAGAAGCCCCTGGCCCAGCTCCCCAGCTGGTACAACTTGCCACAGGTCAGCTGAAACCAACTGATTTATACTAGCCCTGAGGTTCCCAAACTTTTTCTTATTGCATACCTGCTTCCAGATATACCAGCTGCCCACATACCCCTACCAGCATATTTTAACCCCTTAAATGTCAGTTATTACATAATGAAAATTAAACCTGCCATGACAATTTCTGCCAGGGAGGTCTTGCGTACCCCTGGGAGTACACGTACCACATTTTGGGCCCCCCTCCACAAGCCAGTCTTGGCTCGGTGACCTATTTGCAGCTGATTCACACCCACTGCTAAGTGAGCCCCCGACACCCATAGAGCTGGAATTCATTTATTGCTGCAGGGGAGCTCATTTGGTTACTCTTATGGAGTGAAAACACCTACCCCCAGCTCCCTGTGATCTGGCCCCCTGTCCTCCATAGGGGCTGACCTGCTGTCAGGGCAAGGGACTCATCACAGCTTGCAGCAGTTTGGGGACGGAGGATATGATTAGGTACCAGTTGAGCATTTGTTGTGGGGGTGTGGCATCTCCTGCTGCCTGTCCAGAAATGCAGCTGATAATCAAAGACCAGACCGGTTGTTTTTAATTTTCTAAGCCCTGGGATGGCCCTAAGCCAAGCCCTCTTAGCAATGGAAGGGGATAAAGTTCCTCAGCAATAGAGAGCCTCCTCTCTCTCTCCCTCTCCCTCTGGTGTGCTGAACTTTGCCTTTAAGCTTGCATGGCTGCATCTCTGCTGGGATCCTCTGATCAGATTAGGAAAGTCGCAGGAACAGCTACAGCTGCAGCAGCAGTTGCTGAGTGCACTTGCCTCCCAGCCCCATGGACAATTAGCTCTTAGGGCAACTTTAAATAAAGTAGGAGAGAAAGAGAGAAAAGGGGTAGTGGATACTATTATAAACTCCTAAGGAGAGTGGCGCTTTAACAGGATAATTATCTACCTGCTGCTGAGGACAAACTGTTCAGTGCATCTGCTACTATCTCAGGAGACTTGATTGGAGAAGGTAATGTTTTACTTTACTGGCTTGCCTTAAGTTCCTCTTCCTTGTTCTAGGGGGAACTTTGCTGGTTTGCTTTGGCCTGATGGGATACTAAGGGTAATTCAGAGTAATGAATCTGTGGGACTGCAGTGCTAACAAAATATTTATTGCTCCAGGTTGTAAACACTATTGTAGCCACTCCAGGTTTGCCTAAGGCACTTAGTCTTATGCTAGTGCCATGTTCCTGATGATCATAAAGGGAACAGGCATTGCACAAAAGCCCCTTGAGTTTATTTTCTTAGCTTCCCACTGTAAAACTCTCCTTAGTAGTACACTACCTGGAAGAAGCACTGGGATGCAGAAGCGGGGAATGGTGGGTGCTTGTTTCATGTACACTTTGACTTTTGTTGTTGTCATTTTGTTTGCTCGGGTGCTGATCTTCCGAAGTTGTGAGTCCTTTTAACTTTACTGATGTGAGTGGATTTGTAGACTTCCGGGTAACTTCTTGCACACAAAATTAAGGCGATGCAATGCATACTTTCAGGACTGGGAAATCCTGAAGTGGGGGTGTGGTGTATGTGTGTGTTTTTTCATGGACAATTAAACTTTTTGAAATTGCACCACTGTTCAAAATGCATCTTATTTAACTGGCTTATGTGTTTAATCAGCATGTTCACGATCTTATTCTCGTATGCGCTGGATATAAAGCAGCAAACAATAGTTCTTCAAAAAGACTAAACTCTGCGCTCATCAGATTTATGCTACGGTGACTGAGGTAGTTCCAAGGAGTGATTGTTGTATTTATGTTGGAGTGCTTTATAGCAGACTCCATCTCCCTGAGACTTGTGGGTGGAAAAAATAAACTGCCCTTAGAGGTCCATGATGATTTGAAAGGATCATTCTGGTAGTATTAAACAGAGGTTGATAACTAGCTACATCCTAGCAGCTGGGACCAAGAAATACCTTCACCCCCACTCCTTCCTGGTACCGCTTGGAATTCCTTAGAACTTGCCTTCTTCTGGCAGCAAGCTTCCATCGGAGGGGATTTTGGCTGTGATGAAACATGAATTGCGTGGGAAGTCTGTGACTCCTATCTCGGCCTCTTTTTGATACAAAGATCATGAATCTCTTTCTCGGGTCTTGCTTAAACTTTTCTGTTCTTGCAAGGGGCGAAGAACCAGCTAATGTGTGTGTGTGTGTGTGGGGGGGAATTTATACTTTAGAACAAGTTGGTACTAAAATGTCTGGCTGTGCTGTTTAAAGGCGCTAGCTAGAGCTACTGGGGATACAAAGGGTTACTGCTAGTGCCCTTTGGAGACCAGGCTATCTTGGTCATCATCAACACATTGAGTTTGGTGTCGGGCTTTACTCTTTGTATGTCTGTTGGCTGTGTTCAGGGGGAAGCCCAGGAGAGGAGTAAGCGGAGAGTATTTTACACATCCAGCCAGGGTGCATTTGGAAAGCTGTCTGCGAAGGAATGTCACAGAGCAGCTGCCTTTGCTCTTCCTGCTGCCCTGTACTTCTGTTTGAGGCTCTCTTTCATGTGACTGAGGATTTGTGGGGGCCTTGGTTTTTTGGTTTCTAGAGACTCCATAAAGGTGGAAACTTATGATTACTGGGCCCCTCTTAGACTGGGTGAATCACCCCCCGCCCCAAATAGATTTCATAATGGCTCCGTGTTCTTGAAAACCATGACCTTGTCAGACTTCAGAGCAGCAAACTTACCTGGGAGGGGGGCTGAGTAGTGCTCTGTAACTAGGGAGAGCTGTGCATCTATTGCATTGATGCACAGGGTCAGAAAATTGGGGCCATCATGCTGTTGCTGTGCGGGAGTGGTACTCTGCTAAACCACTGTGACATGGGACCTTGGTGTGGGGAAGCAGTGTGTCAGCCTCAAGTGCATGCATGAGATCTTGGGCATTACTGGGTGAGCAGTTGCCAGGGAAGGCCTGGAAAGTGCTTGGCTGGTGTCTGGGCATTAAAGGAAGTGTCCCTTGCAGTTCGCTCCTAGCCCAGCCTGGTCCTTTCCCCAGTGTTGCCTAAGTCCTCTAGTGTGAAAGGCTGCAGCTTTGGGGTAGGTGGGGGAAGCTGGGAAGGAGGAAACGATTATTACTACCAGTTCATCAGCCTGTGGATAGCAAAGGCCTTGGGGTTTCCTGTGTCCCACACACTTTCAGGTCTGGACAACCAGGATGCTCAGCATGTGGGTGCTACCCTGTCATGTTACTAATGGCAGAGCCCTGAGTTGGGAGCAGGGGAGGGTTGCTATCATGGCAATGAGGCTAGTGAGGTTTTAGAGGAGTTGGTGTGTTAGGAGCTTGTGCCATTCATTAGCATAGTAGGTGTGCTGCACCTGAATTGCCTGGCTGTGTGACAGGTGTCTCTTCTGCTTTTAGAGACAGCTGGAGGCATTCCCTTTTAGCCAACAGACATGCTGGTAGATTAAGCAGCTGTTCTGGGGTTAAACATCACAGTGAAGCATGGTCAAATCCTGGAGCAGCCTGGCTTCCATGCTGGGAGGCAGAGTGGGTCAGTGGACAAAGTGCTGGGCTAGGACTTGGACACCCAGGGGTCCAGTTCCACCACTGCCGCTGACCTGCTGTGGGACTTTGGGCAGGTCCCTTGCCCTCTTTGTGTTTCTCATCCCATCCCATCCCTGGGACACCTTATGTATTTAGACTGGCAGCTCTTCAGAGCAGGGGCTGTGTCTGTCTACATATTTGTGCAATGACCAGCACAATGGGCCCCTGACCTTGTGCTGTAACCAGCACAATGGAGCCTGTTGTTGCTGTTGTGATACATTCAATTATGGCTAATGACTAGAGACCAATGGGATACCGACTCCATAATAGCCTCTCCAAGGGGAATGAAAACATGAGAAGTCAGAACTGTTTGTGTTAGGGAAGAAGGTGAGAGCAGTCTCTTATGAGCAAGAGTGGGGAGGGACAGTAGGAAAATTGTGCTGTAATGGCTTATCTCTGTGTGTTGCGTGAATTTGGCATCAACAGCCTGTCCTAAACCAGAAGAGGCCTGAGACTGCAGCTTCTGATTGAGCTGTATTAAGCGATGGAGATATGCAGAGGTGCCCCCTGGCAGCGAAGGGCTCTCCTTTCCTGAACTTATCCCAGAGGGGAAGGTGGTATAGTGAGGGAGTGGTACTGCTAGGGCCAATGTGTGTGGTGCTGCTGGGCAGATCTTGTGCATTATGCAGGTTTTGGTGGCATCAACAAACCCAGGCTGGGAGTGGGTGAATGGGGGGACGAGTGCCATGGTAGCATGCAGGTGACCACACTAAGTGTGTGTTTGCGGTGGGCACAGCCAGCATGTGCTGCGATCAGAGTCTGCATCCCTGAGCCCTACAGAAGCTTGTGATGGATGGGACCTGTGAGACCATCCAGATCCTCTGTTCCATCCCTGCATCCTTGACTGCAGACATCCTCATCCTCTGTGCAGTGAGCTGCAGCCCTGCTCCCCCCGAGCTGTGGCAGCTTCCCAGGGTGGGCTTTTGAAAGGGCTCTGTGCTCGGGTGGAAGATCAAACCCTGGTGCTGCTGCCCAGGTGCATTTGTGCTGTGGTGGTGATGTCCTGAGGATTAGAAAAGCCGTGCATCCATGCTCCTCTCTCAGGGGATCAGCCAGGGCACAGGGAGTGGGCAGAAGTGCTATTAATTTGAAGGCACTTACTCAGTCGGCTACAGGGAGACTGGAAATAGTGTGAGAGCTGCCAACTTTATTCAGTGGCTTGTGGGATAATGATCTCTTGAATTGGCTTGCTTTCCCTCCCCTGTGTGAGCAAGTAACTGGTAAACAACTGAACTCGAGTCCCTGCCTCACTTTACCTTATTCTCTGTATGATGCTGCTAGTGCGAGGAAAGTCTGGTTAAGGGTCTGAGCTGCTCCATCTAGCTTGTGCTCTCAGCTATTTCCCAACGTCCCTCCGCCCCCTCTGAATACAGAGGACACATGCTGGTGACAGCATATCTTGATGCTTATAGGCGGAGAGGGTTTCTAGCAGCAAATGGTTCACAACTTATACATGGGTTGTTGTGTGTTTTAATTGCTGCTAAGTCTGCAGCTGCTTTGGTTGACAGGCACCTGTGCAAATAGCACATGTGAAAAGCTGCTTTCTCCTTATCCTTCTTGTAAAAGAAACAAACCCAGTGACCCAAACAAATGGTGAAGAACCAACCCATCTCTGGCAGATGCAGCAATGCCTTTGTAGTGTTTTGGCTTGGCTGTAGCCAGGCTTTCCATTGTATTTTATTGCTGCCGTGAGAAGCTCAATTGAATTAAATGAAATCCCCTTTATAAAAATAAAATGCTCCCCAAACGGCTCTGGAGTGTGATCTTTATCATTTTTATTAAAAGCCACACGCAGTGTGCTGTCATTATGCTGGGGTGGGGGGTAGGTAGTCCCCCCTCCTGCCTTCAGCTCTTCCGTGCTCTGTTTATATTGGTGGGATGCAAAAGCTCCCCTGGGAGTGATAGATAGTGGGAAATGAAGAATATGAAGGGGCTTTATTGAGACCATCAATCTCTGCTGGTGCTGCTGCGATCAAAGACCCAGACTTCCTCAGCAGAGGTTAGCTAGAGGAGCAAAGGGATCAGGTTTCGGGTGGAGTGGGGATTTTGTGCAGCTGGATAATAGAAGAATTCCTCTCTGCTTCCAGCTCTGTTGGAAGTGAGGGGTAGGTAACATCTACCATCTTTGATGTCTGACCACAGGGGCAGGGTTGGCTACTGCTGCGCCCAAGCCAGCTGGTCCTTGGAGATGAGCCTAATGATGGCTCGAGGGCTCCAGAGTAGATGGGCCTCAATGGAAATGTCTCTGCTGGGCTTGCTCCTTCATCTTCATAAACTGGCATGGCTCAGCTGTGCTGGATGCACATCTGGCTGACTGTGGTTCTCTCTCCTAGTGTGGAACGGATTCTGCAGCGCCAGGCTCCACAATGAAGTTAATCGGGTCCGTTGGGCCAAGATCTCTCAGCAATATTATGAAAGCCTGGTAGGGTAATTCTGTAATTG